CGAGAGATGATTTCAGGGGACTATAATTGCAAACAAGAAAATAAAGGGGAACATTGTAACGGTGCCCGGGGTCGAGGCAATCTTAGGTTCAGGGGTCAACTAAGGACGTTGGTAGGGGAAGATAATGGTGACTAATGCGAGCCCTGGCACGGCAGGAGGGTCATATTAGCACCTAGACAATCTCTGTTGAGTCCTCGGGGTCCCAGCACATAGTAAGGGCCATTCGTGGGTGGTTTTGTCCATGACCAAGCACCCACACACCTCAACCAGAGCCCTAGTAACCCGTGGGGCCAACGCTCCTCAGTGAGGGGTGTGCAGAGAGAGGCCTGGACGCAGGCTGGGGGGCCCCCTAACAGCAGGATGCTGGACCTTTCAAAGACTGGGTCTGTGGTTTCTATTTGATAGTCACACACTCACACAGGCACAAAAATACGTATAAATACCCACCGAATCCTCGTACACACAACTCCCCATTCAGAGTCTCACCTGCCCAATGCCTCACCTTCTCTGTGGCTCCCTAGAGCTGTTCCAGGCTCAGACCCAGTCCCTAAAGTCACAGCTTGCAAAGTAAGACCCTGGAAATGCATAGGGAAGGATTTCGGTCGGCAGTTGCTTTTCACTAGTGGGGTATCGATCACTGAAGGAGATTGTTTGGGCTCTGACAATATGGAGTGAAGCTGGACCCCCCCCTCCAATCCCCTCATGAAGGGCCTGCAAGGAATGAAGAGTCCCCAGCTTCCTGGATCCAGGGCCCCTGTGTGAAGTTGAGGCGCAGCCAGAAAGCACCATAGTGATATGTCTTGGGCCAGTGGTATCATGCAGATCACCCAGGGATCTCGAGAAAAATGACACGTCTGAAATTTTGATTCACCAGATCCAGAGTGGAACTGAGATGCTATGACCGCTACTTTGAGAAGCTGCACGAAGGGGCACACTCTGATTTCCAGGACAGGGCACACGGGACCTTGCGCTGGCGCTGGCCGGCCTAGCCCAAGGCATCAGTTTAGCAAATGAAGGGCTACTTGCATCCCACTTCTTTAGAGCACGACCCTGTGTTTGCCCGGAGAAGCCACTGGGCCACGGTTGGAGACCTTGTCCCCTCCCTAGCACAGGTTGCTACCAAGGCGGGGAGCACTCCCTGCCAGACTCCTTGCCCGGAACTCCTCCTATGCTCCCGGCACTTCACCAGCCACTCAGGGTCACAGGACAGCATCGCTTTGCAAAATCCACTTCCCATCATCTCCAGGCCCGGCCCCATGGTGACATTTTAGCCTTCCTGGTTAATGAGAAAACAAAACAAAACAAAAAACGCCTGATTCCTGGCAGGCTCCACACCACAGATGAGTTACACAATCATGAGCAAATAACCTTCCAGGTCAGAGGCTCTCTCCGTGATGCGTGGTCTGACTGACCCCTGGTGCTGGTTGGTCTCTGACACAGAGAAGGGAGGCAGGCCAGTCCCAGGCAGGAAGGGGATTGGGCGGATGTGAAAGCTGGGTCCTCAGCTAGGACCCCAAGTCCCCCTCTTTGGCTTGGGCATGACTAAAAGTGAGAACGGCAGAGCACTAAGACTCCAAAGAAAGACTGTCCTACAAGCCACGCAATTTCTGGATCTGGAACTCAGGCCAAAGCCTGGGCCTTGAATGTTGTGAACTTCTGTAGTTGTTTTCATTCTGGCCTGGGAAGCAAGTCACAATTACGTCGATTGTGTCCGTTCTTCTACAGAAGACCATTGACTTACAGACGGAATTTAAATTCAAAGTTCCCATCTTGAAAGCAAGGCGTATTTGCCCTTCTAACTTACTCAGACTGGCTTTCAACAGACTTGAGAGACAGGTTGTAAGTGTTTGGGCTACAATTTGTTTGGACAAAACTGATTGACAGGTAACAAAAATACTGAAAACGGTTCTCAGATCCTCCAGCTTTGCACTCAAAATAGGCCCTGAAGAGCTGAACTTCTGGGTAACCTTTGATTCATCCACCTTTCCAGAGAAGAAGCCATTACTGACCAATTTACAGATAGGAAGACTGAGGGCCAGGGCGCCAACATACCACTTGGTGCATTAGTCAGGGAGCTGGCCTCAAACCACATGCTCCCTGTTCCAAACCCTGAACTTCCCACCCACCAAGTGCCCCTCCTTTAGCCCTAACAGGGCACACAGAGAGCCAGGCCTTTGTCTCCCCACCCACCTCCCCCAGGCGTGACCCAGGAATCAGGGCCCCCTGCTCCCCAGAGATCTGAACACCAACTTCCTTTCCAGGAATGCTCTGAGGGTGTGCCCTTCAGGTTTTTACTCTTTGCAAGAGGCAGCAAAGGAAGATTGCAGCTTGGAGAAGTCTCCCAGTTCCCTGGTCCGAGAAAACCAGCCTGGGAAATGCGATCGAAGAGACTCCTATTTCATCAGAACAAAATAGGAGTGGAATGTGCTGCCTGGAGCCCATAGGGTCCGTCCTCGGAGCGCCTCAGTTCATGACGTCCCTTGTGCGAGAGATCAATGACTGCATGCTCCTTAGTAAAGAAAACGGCCTGTGCTTAGCCCTCGAATGAGAGAGACTGTCTGTTGAATCACCGTAAATCCATAATTTCCCTCTCATTCCAGGTCCTGGGAAGCCTGGAGAATTGCAGTTTCTACCTTTGGACTCTCATGAGAATCCTGTATCTTTATTTCTTTAAACCAGTCTTTAAATGTTTACATGTTTTTGAGGGAGAAAGGCAGAGAGGGGAAAAGAGGATCCGAGAATCAGGCTCAGTGCTGACAGCAGAGAGCCCGACAAGGGGCTCAGACTCATGAACCGTGAGATCAGGACCTGAGCCAAAGTCGGGCGTTCAACTGACTGGGCCACCCAGGTGCCCTGAGGATCCTGTATCTTCAGAGCAACTCTCTCTCCTTTGAGCTAACTTGCACGGCACCCCACTGCCGGCTGATGAGGTACAGGAAGCGGGGGCCTCAGTCAGTTCTAGATCGAGGGAAGAAGGGCAGCAAGGGGTTACCTTTCGAGAGGAGCTCTGAAAAGATGATCAGTTTCTAGATCAAGGAAGAACAAGCAAAGAAGAATCTTACACGGGGGATGGAAGGATCTGAACTTGGCCTGTAGACTTGCATTGTGTGTCCCTAAACGAAGGAGGCAATCAGTCGGCCCCGGGAAACAATCTGTGTGAAGTACATGACTGTACCTTCTCCCCCTTTACAGCTAACACTACTGGCCTTTACGCACAGTATAAACAAAGGGTAGGTGTGATCCCCACCCCCTTACATCAAACAGAAGGAATTACCTAATGGTCACCTGCCTATTTTCTCATTTTTTCTTGGCTATGGGAAAATCTGGGTGTGACTTTCATGTTTGTTAACAGGAATTCTCTCGTTTGGGGTTGGTGTGTGCATATCTTCTTTCCTTCACAAAAGTCTCTGGTCTTTCCTTTTTCTATTGGCCAGACTGTGATTCCATATGTGCCTCTACACTGTAAGCACATTCTGTCCTTCCCGTAAGTGGTGTGGATGTGCACTGAACACAGACCTGGTCTGCTCTCCATCACAAGAACATTCTTCTCGTTGTTCTTCTCCAGTGTCTGAAGAAACTCGCTGAAAATGCAGTGAAGGGAGAGTCCTTGGAGGCAAGGACGCAGGACCTGTCACCCTCCCCCTGTCAGCACGTCCCCTCCCAGCGGCTCCCCCCGCCACAACAGTCCTGCTTACCCCGGAGAGAGCGCTACCCTATATTCACTTCTTAGTGTCCAATCCACTCATGTATGTGCTGATTCTTCGCTGTACCCCATTCAACAAACACTCACCCAACACTTACCCAATATGAGGTGTTCTCTCTTGGTGATTCAGACACAAAGAAAACTCATCTTTACACAAATATTTCATTACGTTAAAGTGGCCCTTGGTCCATTCATGAAATATTTTATACTCTCGTTTGGGGAATGGCATACAGTTGAAGCTGGAATTCGCTTTCCTTCCCCAGTTTACTGCCTGGGCTCCATATAACCTCAGCCCCACCTACTCTGAGGTTACTGGGAACCAGTCCTGATCATCAGCAGCGTTGATGGCCAAGAGGGGAAGAGAATCCTGCTCGGAGGGAGTTTGATTTGTTGACCGGGTGACTCTGTATCATCTGACACGGTGGCATCCATGGTTTAGACGACATTGTGTGGTTTGACAGGGGGTGAAACTCTCCTTTGGGGAGTTTTTCTCTTGTCTCCTTAATAATGGATAGTGTGGACCCATGCTAGGAAGAGGATGTCACAGAAGGAAGGGGATCACCCTAGTGGCGATAGGGAGGACACAGACAGTTGGGCAGGGTGAGGGGACTCCTGGACTTACCATGGTCACCCGTGTGGGACACCGCCGGATATTACAGTCTGGCGGTGAAAGATTTCCTGGTGCAGCTCACGGACAATGAAAAACAGCACCTGGGGCACCTGGGTAGTTCAGCCATGATCTACCGACTTTGGCTGAGGTCATGATCTCACGGTTCCTGAGTTCGAGCCCCGTGTCGGGCTCTGTGCTGACACCTCAGAGTCTGCAGCCTGCTTCGGGTTCTGTGTCTTCATCTCTCTCTCTCCCCCTCCCACCCCTCTCAAAAATAAATAAACATTAAAAAATAAAAATAAAAACAGCACCCACGTCAGACCGGGCTGGGCTAGCCATGGGAAAGTACATAGGACAGGAGAGCTTGGCATCCAGTAGTGGCGACATGTCGGGGAGAAAGGCTGGGTCTCCTAGAGGTTGAGGTCTACTGCTCTGATGCAGACTGGCCTCCACTGGCCTCTCTGGGAGGCTGCGGTGTCCTCACCGAAGAAGGAAGGGTGTGACTTGGCCCTTTCCATGGCTGACTCTGACTCGATGCTAGGCTCTTAGGCAGGACAGAGTGTCCTTTGCTACAGACTGGACCAGCCACCCGCGAGCCCCACTGTCAACCACTTCTCACTTCCTCATCCCCACAAACACATCCCTTTATTTCCCTCCCGTCCCCCTGAGGAATGAATCAACATGGGGTGCGTGTGTGGGGAAATTAATTCTCTTTGGGAGTAGCAGAGAGCTCAGTGAAAGGCTGAGGAGGGGGTCTGCCTCCTTAGGCCGGGAATTCACAGACGGCCAGGAAGGAGGCTGAGCAGGATATGTCGTTCCAGAGCCCGTCCTCCAGGATGGTCACACAGTCCTCCGCTGAGTCGTGGTTGTTGGGCTCATTCCTCTTCCAGTTGCTGTAGGTGAGCCTCCCTCCTGTCACATACATAAACTGGCCCTCAGTCACTTCATCCGTGATGCCCAGGAAGGCGGTGCTACTGGCCACATCCTGGATGGCTTTATTCTCCTCAGCGTTCTTCGGGGTGGCCACAGTGCCCTGGAGCTCAGCGCACAGGGCCTTCACTTTGGAAAAAGGCATTCTTTCACCGTTGGTCACGTAGAACTTCTTCCCAGAGGCTTTGCCCAAGGAGAAGGCTTGCACTGAAATCACAATGGAAGGGATGGGTTGACTGGGCCTGGAGCTTTGCAAAAAGCCCTTCCCAGGGAACTCAGGACTCAGAAAAATAGCCCCATGCCCAACCATGGGGTCAGATCCTAGTAAAGGAGCACTCCTCAGCAGCAGGGCAAGCCCCGGGCAGAAAGCTTGCACTCTCCTGGGACATCCCACCCTCGAAAGAAACATCTATACAAACTGTTCCAGTACAGGGGACATAGGGAAGCATCCTTGGGCCACCCTGCCAGGCTCGGGCACCAGGCATGGGTGGACAGCTATCTAGGGCCAGGGCTTGCTGAAGAAAGAGCCAAGATTTTGGAGGTGTGGACCTTCACGTGCCACCCTTCCTCTGTTACTTCCTAGCTGTGTGACAGCGAGTGAATTACCTACACTTCCAGGACCTATTTGTCTTCACCTGTAAACAAAATGGGTATAATATGCGCAAATTGGGCCGCTGGGAGGCTTGAATGAAACCGTATTATGGTAAAATGCCAACCTAGCACAGGTCATGGTGTATGATAAGTGCTCATAAATGTTAGTTTTTGGGGCGCCTGGGTGGCTCAGTTGGTTAAGCATCTGACTTCAGTTCAGGTCATGATCCCACTGCTCATGGGATCCCATGATCGTCGGCTCTGTGCTGATGGCTTAGAGCCTGGAGGCAGCTTCTGATGCTGTCTTCCTCTCTCTGCCTCTCCCCCACTCAAGCTCTGTCTGTCTGTCTCTCTCTCAAATATAAATAAAAACATTAAAAAAATTTTTAGGGACACCTGGGTGGCTCAGTCGGTTAAGCGTCCGACTTAAGCTCAGGTCATGGTCTCACAGTTTGTGGGTTCGAGCCCCGCATCAGGCTCTGTGCTGACAGCTCGGAGCCTGGAACCTGCTTCGGATTCTGTGTCTCCCCTTCTCTCTGCCCCTCCCCTGTTCATGCTCTGTCTCTCTCTGTTTCTCAATAATAAATAAACATTAAAAAAAATTTAAAAAATTTTTTTAAAGTTAGCTCTCGTGTACCCTCCCCGCAACCTAGGGAGCTCGGAAGAAAAAAGTGAGAGCCACGAACACCCTGAGGGCAGAAAACAAGCTTACACTTTTTGGTGTGGTCCAGTTCTGATTTCAGCTTCCTCATCTCCGTCTCCAGGTTAGCCAGCTTGATCTCCACAGCTGTGAAGCAACAGGGAGACAGGTATTTATCGAGAAGAAGACCCTAAATTGGAGAGCGGAGTATTTTGCCAAAGCAGGGGGGAAAGCTTACTGAAGAGTATGCTTATTCTAGAAAGATAAGAAAACAAAAAGAAGCAAAAAAGCCCTGTCTTCTGAGATATACTTAGTAGCTCTTGTAAACTATGACTCAGAGCTAATAGTAATAATAATAATAATAATAAAAACAACTTGTAGGGGCGCTTGGGTGGCTCAGTCAGTTAAGCATCTGACTTTGACTCAGGTCATGATCTCACGGTTTGTGGGATTGAACCCCACGTCGGGCTCAGTGCTGACAGCTCAGAGCCTGGAGCCTGCTTCAGATTCTCTGTCTCCCTCACTCTCTGCCCCCTCCCACTTATACTCTGTCTCTCTGTCTCTTAAAAATAAGTAAATATTTAAAAAACCTTGTAAATTATGGCTCTGGATCCTGTTTACATATTGCTTAAATGTTGCCATGTGATAATTATTTATAAGAAAAAGCCCCACTCATTATTCTCCTTCTTGAACATTTTTCTTACTCATTCTCTTTCATTTCTTATACCAGGCAAACTTCTTAATACTTTCATAATTTTGGTGGGCCAGCTGGCAGAGAGTAACAAGAGATCATCGTCTTACTTTTGTTGTCACTGAACTGACTGCAGTTTACCCCGAACTGGGTTGCCATGACAGTCCCCCTGATTCAGGGGTCCTAGGAAACCGACATTTCCATGCCATGCCTTTGACAATAGACATTAACCCCTCACTCGAGAGGACATCGCTCCTGCCTCTCAGCCTGGAGGCACTTGCAGACTGTCAGCTGAGGAAGAGCCAGGGCCCATCTCCCAAGAGGCCTGGGGGTAGGGGTGGGGGTGAAGGTGGCCCTGCAGGATTTGGGAGTCTGCACTCAGGCAGCACACTCAGAGGAACGTGTGTCCTGGACAGGCAGCCGTCAGGCATCTTCCAATGGGGCAGCCCAAAAAGGGTCACCTCCCGCCTGGCCCGTGACTGCCCAGGGCCCGGGTCCCCCAGGCCCATGCTGTGCTGGGTGAACTCCTTACCTGAGCTGTATCCGCGGTCTCCTTTGGAGCCCTTTAGTCCTGGGGTCCCAGGAGCCCCGGTGTTTCCTGGGGGCCCCATTTTCCCCGGAGGGCCCTGCAGGCCTCTGAGCCCCTGCCCTGTTGTAAGAGGAAAGAAAAGTGATCCGGGGGCTGTGGCTCATTCTCTTTTTCCAGAAGTTCAATCCAATCTGCATTAACCCCAGAAAACCTCCAGTGAACCAGTGGTGACCCAGGAGAAAGTGATCCTCCTGCGTTCCAGGGGACAGCCTGTGCTCTGGGCCAGCGCCCTAAAAGGGAGGGACACCTGCTGTCTGCAAATAACCAGGCATCACGGATTCCGGCGTGGAAACATGCGATCCTGGAGAACCAGAGAAGCATCTCTGTTTGGGAGAGGTCGCCCTTCCAGACGAAGGATTCTGAGTGAGGCACCGCCCACCTTGATGCGAGGTGAGCCTCATGTCTCCGCGAGAGCCCTTACAGGGAACAGTCTCCTGCTGGGGGTAAAGATTTAAGCAGCCAGAGCCGCCCACCCCGTACCTGGTTCGCCCTTTTCTCCCTTGGGTCCGTCTCGCCCATCTCTGCCTGGGATGGCACAGGTAATCGCTGAGCAGGTCTTCAGGGCCTCCTCGGAGATTTTTGTTTCTGAGCTGGATGCTATCAGCATACACAGAAGGGCAGGAAGGGATGAAAGCAGGAACATGGTCTACACCTGAGAGTGGAGAAAGCCACGGAAAATAATTCTGTCTCCTCTTGTCCAGTCACCTGTTGCTACCGCTCTGGTATGCTGGTCCCTGTGCTGGGGGCAGCAGACCCCTAAGGGACTGTCATGGCCCTCGGCTCCAAGTTACTCTCAGACAGGGGGGACCCACAAGTAAAAAGTAGTAGAGGTCGATCGCTGCTAAAACGAAGGTAATGGGACAGAGTCATACACACAAGAGTAATACAATGGGGACCCTTCTCCCTGGGGCTCCAGTGCCCCTGTGGGTTCAAGATTTGGTAGGTCAGGCGGCCCCTGTGCACCAGGGCCCACGGGATCTGGAAATCACAAATAACCCCGCACCCAGGGTCCCAGCACAAAGGCAGAGAGCTCATTGCCTGTGTGAGCTTTGGCTCCTCTCTTTCTTGACTCCCTTCTTGAGGGCCAGGGAACCTCAGTTTCCCTCTTCTTTCCCTTCCCATGGGCCCTAACATTAGACCAACTCATGACCTGAGGTCCCCCAAGGCTCATTTCTTGGCAGGACTTGGTTTATGACATCCATTCTCTCATTTCATGTAAAAAGCCTATCTTTCACTGGGGACCCCATATGTCCTCAGGATCATTTATAGCTGTTTCTGCGATGGCTCATCAACCATCTTGTAACAAGTGTCTCTTCTGGGACAGGCACCTGCTGGGGGCTCAGGACCCAGCCTGCCCTGAGGCAGGCTTCTGACCCTCAGAATGGAACCTCTTTTGGTTCGTGATCTTAGCCAGATGAGACAGATTTTCTCCTTCCATTGGCTTGAGATTTTCCACCGAGAGGTCATTTTTGCCAGCCAGAACCCAGGCTCCTAAACTTTCTGCTGGACCTGGCGTGCTGGCCGGCTCCCGCTCCTTCTTCTGGCAGGACCCTCTGCACGCTGCCCAGATGCCTCCCCAGCTCTGTGCCCCCGTCCAGCCGCCAGGTTCTCCAGACCCAGCTTCCGCTCCCGCTGGCCCCCTTTCCAGGAAGCGTTGGCAGCCCAACCCCCACAGGCCTCTCCAGGCTCTAATCCCAGTGTCCCTGGCCCTTGATCCCTAACTCCTGCATCCACCCTTGCCTTTCCGGCCCTGTCAGTCACCTTAACCCTTCCCTCCCTCCAGGACTCGATGAGAAGTAATAAGTTGGAAGAGAACTTTCTTGATCACGCTCTTCTCTTCCTTTCCTCTTTCTATCTTTTTTCAACTTCCCCCTAATTACGCTGGAGGCCAAAGCCATGTTGCTGGCATACACATCCCATTTCCATTCTTCTCTTTGGCCGAAAAGACCACCCTTTAGTCTGCAGAAGGTCAAGTGGACCCTGGAAGGGTTCAAATGCCCCAGGTCAGATGGAGACTGAGGCCCTGAGGGGGCCTGAAACCCCACCAAAGTCCCTGCCCGGACCTCACACGATCAAGTTGAGTGGCCAGACCCCTGGCCCAGGGCTTTACCTCTGTCCTCCAGAAATGACTTAATTCCTCAAAGCACAAGGGCTATGGTGGGGAAGCAGGTCCTCCAGTCCAGGGACATCAGGCCCAATTAACCTGGTGACTGGGGACGGCCTTCAACCCCAGATTAATAAACAACTGTCCTTAGAGCTGCTGTCCACTGGGCAGCTCTCCAGAGCTGCTGGCGAGGCCCCTGGCCCAGCGCTGGACAGCTCACTACTTTAATACCCTGAAGCCCTCCCTCTGCTGTCCCCTTCCATGTCCCCGTCCCTACAGCTCCACCACTCTGCCTCCCCAGACTCGAAGTCCAGTCGGTAGCTCCTCCAGATATTCATTTCTAGAAGAGGCACGATTAGATGCTCTACCAAGCATGTGCTCACACACGTTTGCACATGCACATACACACACCTATGTGAACAGGCACACATCTGTGTGTCAGCTGCTCTGACTAGTTCACCTCTCCATTTGTGTGTGGCTTACTGGGATGGGGGGATGAAACCCTGAGTCCCCTCATTCCTCCCTTTAAATGTCATCTTTGGATGAGGCACGGATGTCACAGAGTGAGCCACAGGGGAGGAAGTATTTGTAAATCGCTCAAGTTCAAAGTTGAACGCGGGCACTAGCACTCACTGTTCCATCCTAGGACATTTCCCTCTACCTTTGCATGACTGTTGTCATTCACATTTCAGGTTAAGTGTTATCTCTGGAGAAAAGGCTTTCCTTTACCGTTTAATTTTAAGTGGCCACTTTATCATGTCTTCCTGTTTTAATTCTCCGCCTGTAATTTCTCTCCCTGTAAAACTGTCTTATTTATTTAACTGTGTACCCCTTGATCACTGCACCCCTTCAGAACAACTCCTCCAGAATGGGGATGTGGTGCTCAGCTGCTGTAGCCCCACCCAGGAAGCAGAGAGAGTGCTCCATAAACAATTACAGATGAATGAGTCCTTCCCGTCACCTCCTCACAGCAGCCCGCCTGACTGCTCTCCAACCACGACTCACATCGGTGCCCACTTTCCTGGTTACTTTTCTAGGGCAGGAGCCACGTTTGCTACCCCGGCTTGTCTCCAGGGCTCATCCCAGGGCTGGGTGCACAGGGAGGGTCCCCACAGAGCACTTGGGGGAGGAACAGAGACCCTGAGCAGTAGCAGATACCAGCCCAGCCCCGGTTCCTCCCCTCCTGGGTTTCCAGTAGCATCAGCTTATCTTCCGAGCCTGATCAAGTGGCTCTTTTCAAGTCCCTGAGCTGACCTTGGATTTCCGCCCTCCTGCAAACTTACGCTCACCCTTTGAAACACTTAGCCTTACCAAACAGCTCAAGAGGTTTGCTTTTTCCCTGCTGAGGAGTCAGGGCGGGGCCACTTCCTCTTGACTCCGCCTTGTGATTGGTGTTCTGGCTTCCCAAGGGTCTTCAGCTCTGTGTACTCAAGGTCACTAGGCGCTGTTCAGCAGAGCCCTCCCAGATTCCTGGGGCCCATTGTACTGAAGACCCCTCTCAAGGCTGTGTTTCCTGATGCCATTGGCACAACTTTGAAGGGCCCCGGGCTCAGGAGACAAAGAATATTCAACCCATGCAGCACGTGGGCAGACCTCCCAGAAAGGTGGGGATTTAAAACCCAGAGAATTACATAAAACCAGAACTCTAGATGCTACAGACTAGAGGAAAGGTGGCTTGGGAGGTTGGGGAGAGGAAGAGGGAGGGATGAGCAAAGAAATAAGAAAGCCTTAATTCTGGTGGGGAAGATGCATATTCTCAAGTCTGTTCTCTTATAGGCCTGGGTTTTGATGTCTGCTATTATTATTATTCTGCCATGATGATGATGATTTTTTAAATGTTTATTTATGGGGGGGAGAGGATGAGAGGGGGAGGGGCAGAGAGAGAGAATCCCAAGGAGGCTCCGTGCAGAGCCCCACTCAGGGCTCCATCTCACAGCCTCAGTCGAAATCAAGAGTTGGACGCTTAACCAACTGAGCCACCCAGGTGTCCCTATGATTATTACTGAATTTTGCTATCTATGCCAAGATGAAAAATACTTTTTCAAGTGTCTGAGCTCATCACAAGCTAGTGCACCATAAGGATGTGCATCCTGGGCATCTCAGGATTTCCTCAGTTGGAGATCAGGTAAGTTTGAGTTCACCTTGTGAAAATCACCCAACACCGTGGGAAATAAGCAGAATGAAAGCTGACTGATACAGCAGGCCTCAAAGCTAGTCCTCCAAGGACTGATGACTCTATGTTACAGATAAATTGATATTTTAACTTTTTAAAGTATTTTTAAAGTTTTATTTATTTATTTTGAGAGAAAGAGTGAGCAAGGGAAAGGCAGAGGGAGAGAGAGAGGGAGAGAGAGAGGGAGAGTCCCAAGCAGTCTCTGCTGTCAGTGCAGGGCCCAATGTGGGGCTCTAACCCACAAACCATGAGACCATGACCTAAGCTGAAATCAAGAGTCGGACATTCAACCGTCAGAGCTACCCAGGTGCCCCAATGAATTGATATTTTTAAAAAGATGGTATATGAAAGAAAGAGAGAGAGAAGGAAAGAGAAGGAGAGAGAGAGAGAGAGAGAGAAAGAAAGAAAGAAAGAAAGAAAGAAGGAAGGAAGGAAGGAAGGAAGGAAGGAAGGAAGGAAGGAAGTTTAAATAATGAAGTTAATGAATTAGAATAAGGAAATTGCTCTAAAGCTAATAATATAGTTTTTAAAAACTGATTCTTTGCAAAAACACAATAAATAAGCTTGGCAAATCTGACCATGATAGCGTGGATTATTGTTCCTGATATTTTACTTCTTTGTGTCATAGAATTCTATATCCATGCCCTTCACTGTGGTACTTTGAGAGCCTCCCACTAGGGTAAGTAGAGTCCCCTACATCCCAACACCCGTAATATGCAGCTCGGTAGTGTGTGTGAGCAGGAGACACAAAGGAGCAGCAACTTTACAAGCATGTGCAGGTTTTATCCAGCCTCTTCTTGGTTTTCCCAATTATGGGAAAACTGTGTCCCTGCTACCACTAATGTTGGAATAATTAGATGATGTGGAACACACACAAACCCACCTGAAAGCCACAAGTAGCTATTAAAGCCCAGTCCTGCAACAGTGGTTAATAGCACAGTCTCTGGAATCTGACCTCCTGGATTCATGGCCCAGGTCCTCCTTGAACTGGCCGCTTGACCTTTGGCAAAGCACTTTAACCTCTATGTGCCCCAATATTCTTATTTGTAAATTGGGGATAACAATAGCGTCTCCGCAATAGGGTTGATGAGGATGACATGAGCTAATGCAAGTGTAGTACCCAGCACCAAGTAAGGGTGATGAGAGTATCAGCCATTAATTTGATCAAGTAAGGTGTATCCCAGGAATGGAAGGATGGTTCAATACCAAAAACAAACTTGTGTAACTCACCAATTTAATATATAACAAGCTTGATTGAGAGTCTTAATGTAGATACGTACAATCGTGAAGATTGAAGTTCACCCTGTTCTTAACACTAAGAAAAACTAATAATAAATAATAAATAATAATAATAAAACTAACTTAAAAAACTAATACATAGTCTTACAATTTTTCATACATTTTTTCCCAGATGCCAGCAATGAAAACTTTCTAAGGCTGATTTATTTTATATTTTATTTCATTTTATTTTATTTTATTTTATTTTATTTTATTTTATTTTATTTTATTTTATGTTTGGAGAGAGAGAGAGAGAGAGAGAGAGAGCGAATCCCAAACAGGCTCCACGCTCAGTGCAGAGCCTGATATGGTACTTGATCCCATGACTCTAGGATCACAGCCTGAGCTGAAATCAAGAGTCAGACACTCAACCAACTGAGCCACCCAGGCGCCCCTATAGGACTGATTTAAAACACAGTCCAAATGTTTATTGCCCTCTAGTTTTGTCACTGGGATCTCCATTTCACCTTTGATTCAGCACCACACTGGCCAGAGGGTATTGGCCAGACTTGAGGCTGGGGTTTCTTGAAGTGAAGGGTGGGCAATGGCCTTTCTCTCTTGTTTCTCTGCACATGTAGGGGGTGGAGAGAATGATGGTGCCAAAGGTGGGCAATACCCGCTCACGGGCCGAACCACATTTTAATTGGGTCACTGCTGCTTCTTAGCCCGCTCCTGACTGCTTATTAGGTCCCTTTCTATGCCTAATTACCAATGACAGTTCCTCTCAGAAGCTGGTTCTTCAAGAAAGGACTCTGAGAGCCTCCAGCTCTGTGTTCTCTGCCCTTAACATCAGGTCAGTGGACACTTCACTTCAGAGGCTCTTCTTCTTCAAGTCCCTGTGTTCCAAGTAGAGTTTAAACCTGGCTTGCTTCCATGACACTGACATTCATACAGGCCCTGGGAAACCCCATCCAGATGGTGGCAATCCACACTGCCCCGGAATGCTCCTGCTCACGTCTGTTCCCCCCTCCACCTCCCCATGCCCCAGCTGGAGCCGTATATCAGAAATTTTAGAGCAGGGAAATTTCCCCCATTCCTACCTCAGTGACTTAATCAGGGAAGGCGAAGCAATTTGGGCATCCCTACTCCCTAAGATTAGGATGCTAGGAAAGTCCCCTCCCCACCCCTATGGAAGGGATAGTTTCCACTATGGAAATTCACATGTAATCCAAGGTGGGTCAGCCTCCTTTCCCCTCTGTATCCTGACCAAAGGGAGGAGAATTACCAAACCCCCATGGTGAACAGCCTTCTCCTTACTGGTTCCATGATGTCATTCCCGGGACATCTCTCCGACCTTAAGTGGTGAGGCACGTAGAACCTCTTATTTTCACCTGTGGGCTCTGGTTGCCAGTACCCAGGCGTGGGAGATGACTTAACCCACACCTCACACCCTTTCAATGTTAACAGATTAAGTTAACAAGTACTATTATCAATGGCTCCCCTTATGCATGTAGTGCCTCCCAAAAGATATTTATCATTGAGAGTCTTCAACAATGTATGGTGGCTCTTGGCCCATACAGAAAGATAAAAATGATATATAAGAAATATAAATATTATAAAAAACAGGCAGAATGTCTGTCATCTGTAACAACATTCACAGGCAGAATTTACAAAATATGAATCAATTATATCAGAAATATTGAGGGCAAAATGAGAATCCAAAAAGATGGTTGTATATAAGATCAACGAAAAGTCAATAGTTCCCTTAAAAACCAGGGATAATTATTTTATTTTATTTTTTTTATTTTTTATTTTTTCTTAATGTTTTATTATTTCTGAGAGAGAGAGAGAGAGAGAGAGACAGCATGAGCAGGGGAGGGTCAGAGAGAGGGAGACACAGAAACTGAAACAGGCTCCAGGCTCTGAGCTGTCAGCACAGAGCCCGACGCGGGGCTTGAACCCACGAACCGTGAGATCATGACCTGAGCTGAAGTCCGTCGTTCAACCGACTGAGCCACCCAGGCACCCCCAGGGATAATTATTTTAAAGTGGTAAAAATAATATAGTAACCATATCAAATAAAACCATAGAGTAAATAAAAATGACACTAACAAAAAATGAGAAGACATCAGTTGCCAGAGGCTTAGATTGCTTATCTATAAAATGGCAATAATATTGCTTCCCTTTTTTGCTTTTGTGAATTTTGGGGAAGAGTCAGTATTTCGTATGCTGGGTCTTAAGCCCATATGGCAGAGTGGCCAGACTAAAATTTAACATTTGAGAAAGATGAGAAATATTTCTACTCATTTCCACCTGGGATGGTGGGGTTTGACCCATAGCTTTCTTTTGCCCAAGAAAAGAAGTACATGCAGTGAGGGAGAGCATTTGAGGAGGTAAAGGTGGGAGAAGGGGGGACCTTTCTGGAGATGGAGCACATATGTGTCTCCTGCCCCCTCAAAGAAGTAGAGACACAGTCTGATTCCCACACATCCCTGGGGCATGGGACATGGTCCCCTTTCACGTAGACCTGAGACTGAGGTGTCTCACAGAGGCTGGGACAGAGCCCTGAATGCCATCACCTTTGGGCGGTGGAAAACATCCAGGTGGCTAAGTGGAAAATGGAAGGCATGATATTATCACCCACAAATGGACCATGTGGACTTAGATTAGGTGCTATCTTAGTGCCAGCCATCAACAATAATGCCCATATTTTCATCCAGATGTATTTTGTAGCTCACCATATGCTTGTACCATATGTTTGTATGATATATAGTTGTACCTGTTGAAAGCAGGTCACCTCTCTCATCCAACAATGAAGCCATTACCTGACATCCAATTTTCCATTTTTCAGGCAAGTGGGGGCTTGGAGCCAGAGTTAATTTGATTTACAAAAATACAGAAATGTGTTTCTTTCTTTCTTTCTTTCTTTCTTTCTTTCTTTCTTTCTTTCTTTCTTTCTTTCTTTCTTTCTTTCTTTCTTTCTTTCTTTTTTCTTTCAGAGAGAGAGAGGGTGCAAGTGAGTGAGGCCCTGGGAGGGGAGTGAAGGGAGAGAGAGAGAAGTGGGGCTCACCTGAAATGGGGCTCATGTTCACCCGATGCAGGGCATGAGCTCAACCAATGTGGGACTCTACGTCACCAACCATGAGATTATGACCTTAGCTAAAGTAAGATGCTTAATGATTGAGCCACCCAAGTACCCAGAAATGTGTTATTTCTCGAAACCAAAGCAATGGAAATCCATGTTAACGCAGTCATGATTTATTACACTGAAATCACCTCTGTCCAGCAAGAGGTGAGGCAGTTAAGAGCATGAGCTTCAGGTCCAGGTAGATAGGTGTGAATCCAGCCTCTGCCACCTGCTCCAAGTAATAAAACTCAAAACATTTGGCTTCTCCAAGCTAATGTATAAAAATGGGGAAAATAAGGCTGAGCCCATAGCACTGTGTAAAGATGAAATCAAATTCCATAAGGTGTATTAGAAGTGGTTGGCAAGGTTCTAGGTACATAGACTCGGCACATGCACTATTTACGTGCTCCATAAATAGCCAGTGGTGTGGGTGGTGTGAACACCTTACTGAGACCCAAAATGGTGTAGGGATATGTCCATGATCAGGAAGTACCTTGGATTATGTCTGGGGTCAGGGGTAAGATCTTCCCTAGTGGAGTACACTGGCTGCTTTTAGGACAGGGAGTTGAGCAGTCAACCCAAGACTCAAGAAAGTGGATAATCCATGTCGATCATTAGGGTGAGGTTGGCCTCCACCTGCTGGGACACCACCTTGCCCTCTGACTTCATGGAGATACAGACCAGATAATCCCAAATGGATCCTTAGCTCACACATTTGGAATTCCCCAGAAGTCCACCTGTCTCTATCATTATGCTTGACCAGAACTGCTAAATCTTGCTGAGGCTGGGCTGGTGGTAGTCTGCAGAGTAAGAGTAGAGGAATCCAGGAAGCAGGCACATTCTGTGTGATTTTAGAGGGAACTTCCATCCCTGGACCTCACTGTTGCCATCTAGAAATGAAGGGACTGGACAAGAAGAGGAAGAAGGAAGTCTCTGTCTCTTGCCAAAGGGCAAAGTTAGGAGGGGCGCCCAGAGTGCTGGGAAGGGCTGGGGGGTGTGGAGTGTCAGACTGATTCATGATGTGGGTGGGAATTCAGGGCCTGTCCAGGGAGTGGAGTGGCTAAGAATGTGTCCTGCCCTAATAGCCACAAATACAATTTTGTTGAAAAGGAGCTATAGCATCTCAGAGATCAGGTGCATCCTCACGATAGAGGCTGAAAGGCAAGGCAGGGCCCTATCTATCCTGTGGCCTGGGTGCCTGCTCAAAACTCACAGATGGCCAGGCGGTACTGCAGGCAGTTTTTGTTATTCCACTGCCCATCTGTGTACATCTCCACGCACTTCTCTTTGCCCCGACCCCTGGGCTCCCCTGGGTACCAGTTGGTGTAATTCACAGGAGCCCCATCAAGGTGGTAGAAGTCTCCAGAGCTGGGGTCCTCCTCCAGACCCAGGTAGGCATAAGTGTTGTGCTTCCTCACGATGCTGGCGATGGCTTCGTTCTCTTCTGGGCTCATCGGAACAGCAATGCGGCCCCCTGCTCTGGCACATGACTCTCTAATGGCATCAAAATTAACAGACTGCCCATTGGTGGAGAAGACCTTCTCTCCCACTACCAGCATGGACTCCTGAAAACTTAGGACTGGAGCAGAGGAACCGAGTCAGTCCACTGACCGCTCTGGATCTAAGTCCCTTCCCTCGCTTGGGCTCTCTGCCTCTCCTCCTTCTGCCAACCCTCGCCTTCCCAAATTCCCCTCCTTGCTCCCATCATCCTATTCATTGGTTCACCTATTTAACAACTACTTATTGACTATTTTTATGTGCCAGAAACTGCCTTTTCCTGGGGCTCAACAGAAAGAACATAGGCAGAGACCTTGCACTCTTATGACACAGGGAGTTCATCTGTGTCTACTTCTGTCTCCTGTGAGTCATTCAGAGACATCAGGAAAGGGAAGTTTCATTCATTTACCCCAAGACCTGCACATCCATCCCTGTTTACCAAGTCTCTAGGGTCCGGGGCCACCTGAGTGGTTCATTTGGTTAAGCCTCTGACTCTTGATGTTGGCTCAGATCATGATCTCACAGCTCGTGGGATTGAGCCCCGAGTCAGGCTCTATGCTGACAACACGGAGCCTGCTTGGGATTCTCTCTCTCCCTCCCTCCCTCCCTCTCTGCTCCTTCCCCACTTGCCCATACATTCTCTCTCTCTTAAAAAAAATATACTTTTAAAAAGTCTCTAGGTTCTGGACTCTGATGCAGGGAATCAGAGGAACTTACAGGAGACTCTTTGTGCCCCAGGCCCTGGGGGGCCCCCCTTACCTCCCATGGCCTGCAGGATCCGATGTCTCAAGTCACGGAGTGTGGTTTGGAGCCCCTCATCGAGAGAAGCTGGAAGTCCTGTCAAGAAATTCCCACCCAAGATGAGGGGGAGCCAACAAAGGCCCCTCCCCCCTTGCCACCAAGCAGACATGATGCCAGCTGCAAGCCTGGTATTCCGTCCTTTACTTGTCCATCCAAATGCTCAGCCCTGGACTGTCTCCACACCCCCTGTGCCCCTGTCCTTCAACGCAGCCCTGCACCCGCCGAGCCCTTCCCTGCCCTTCTTTCCTGCCCTGTCCCTTAATGGCTCTGTCTGCCCACTCTTACAGATTTTTCTGGTTTGGGGGCAAAGCCCCTTCCCTCACCCTCCACCAAAAGCAAACCTGGTTCGTTCCGCACCCTCCTGATTGGCTTTGGTCCCCACTCCGAGCTTTGGAGTTCCCCTCTGCGTGCGGGGCTCCCATTCACTTCATCTACCTGGACCCCACCTCGCTCCCTGCACCTTTCAGAATGCGCCCCAGTGCCTAGGAGGTGTCTTCACTGCCTCGCATGCTGTCCCCACCCCTCACCTGACGCCCTGCCTGTGCTCATCAGCAGCCGCGATGTGTGGAGCGCTTTCAGCACCCGCCGACCCACACTGTGGCCTGCTACTTAGGCCCCTGTGGCTCCCCTCCTCCGCCTCATCTTCTCTTACTTAGGTTGAGGAGTATGCATTTCGAGGACCTCCACAGTTCTGCCTGATCCCCATCATCCCTCATGTAACCGGTCGCGTGGGCACAGTGCTCGTGTTGATGCGGCCTGCTCACCTGGAGGGCCTCTCTCACCAGGCTCCCCCTGTACTCCACGCTCTCCAGCGACCCCAGGGGCTCCAGTCAGCCCATTAGGCCCCGGGTAGCCTGGCATTCCTCCAGGAGGGCCCATGGGGCCTGTAAAGAGAAGGGGACACAGATCTGTGTTATCTGCCGCTGGGGCTGTTGGGAAGCGCCCTCCCTTACGAGCCGAGCTGACTCAGCCATCACCCCATGGGCCCTTTGAGGGTGGCCTCTCCCAAGGCTGCTGTGGTCTAAGGCCCCCAGGGAAATCCCACCAGGCCCCAGCATCCAGCTGACTGTTGGACCCAGCCCAGCACCCCTGACAGGCGGGGCTCCTGAAAACAGGTCACTGCTGCTGCGCTGAGTCTCGCGACTCCCACTCAGTACCTGGAGGCCCCGGGTCTCCTTTGATGCCGTCTCTCCCATCTCTGCCCGGCAGGCCGTGGGATCCAGGAGTGCCAGGGATGCCAGGGCTCCCGACACAGACTTCCTTCACACTGTTCTCAGTGCCCGAAACCCCCAGCAAGGCCAGGGCGAGGACCAGAGAGCGCAGCAACATGGCTTCCGTTGTCGTGGCTCCTCCTGCAGAAAGACAGGGCCGCCGGCCCATCTGAAGCATTTGCAAAGGTTTCCCCCTTGCTGGGCTTTGTCAAGATTCAGGTACACGGCCGAGCCCGAGGGCTAGGGCAGGTACAGATTGGACTTTGGGAAAGCCCCAAACTATCCTTGGAAACTCCGGGCATCATCTGCAGGCTCGGGCCTCACCCCTTGGGCTGGAGGTGGCGTGGCACCTGGGCCAGTGAGGAGCACCTGGACTGTCAGAGGGCCTGGCTTCTAATGGGGTCTCCGGTCAAATCTTGCTGTGTGACTGTAGGAACTCATGCACCTGTCTTGACTTCAGCTAAAACTTCTGTGCCCTGGAGACAATCCTGACCTGTCCCTCTCAGGCTGCCGGGAGGAGTTTATGGTGTCGCTCACTCCCTCTGTCCCTCTACTCTCCGCTACCCTCTTGCAGGGCCTAAGGGGCCATGTTCCTGAGGATAAACAATAGACGACCAGGGCCAATGATAGTTTGCCCCTCCCCCTGCTGGGGCGTCCCCTTCTCCTTGGCAGGCTGTGCTCTCCCTCACTGGCAGGCCCTGCTGAGCTTCCAAGAAGAGTGGATCTGGCCGAGGAGCCTGGCAGAGTATAAGGATATTTGCAAGCCCATCTTCTTGCATCCATAGTTAGGATTCTGGGAGCAACTCCCCGTGGTGCATGGGGAGGCCCCTTCGCAGTCTGACCCTTAGTCACGCTTGGGATTGCTGGGCTGGCTCTCACTGCCTGCAACCCGTGTACTGGGTAAGAAGGGAGGGGGCTCTACTTACCCACCCAACAGAGCCCACGGGGATCTCTGCCTTCAGGTCAGAGTGGAGAGGTGGGCAGCGCCATTTATACGGATGCAGGCTACCAGGCTTCGTCTCCACCCCAGAGAGGATCCTGTCACGAGGGCCTCTATTTGGGGAAAGGCCAGTCAGGAAGCGGCCATCTTGTTTACACAGCAGCGTTCCCTCTCCCAGCACTCAGGCTGGAGGGGCACTTAGAAAACCCGCTAAAGAGGAACTCCAGGCCAGTACGCAGGGAAATGTCTCCTGGGGTGGGACACTCACTCCCCCAGCAGTGAAGGGGGAGAGCACTTACACAGGCACCAGTGGGGGCACACAGCAAAGGGAGCCTTCTCCCTCCTGGGCCTCGGCCCAGTCCTGGCCGGTGATGCATTCTCAGAACCACCACCCCCACCCCCCAGATGCCCACCAGCAGGAGACAATGTACCAGGGGAGCACAGACCTACAGGAATGTCTCCGTGTGACTCCTTCCTGAGGCCATTCCAGCTCCAGAGCCTCTATAGCTCTTAGGAGGGGGCCATTTTGTTCCAGGCAATACAGAGGCCACGGCTTAAGAAGAGGGTGGGTGGTCAGGAGGAGCTAGGACAGAGTGTGCGCCATGGGACATGTCTCGCCACTGAGCTGCCCGTACACATCCCCTACTCCCCCCTGGCCTCGCAGCTCCTGCTTCCGGAGCCCATGGCTAGGTCGGTGGGCACCTGGCTCAGAGTCACAGGCAAACCTTTACATGTTCCCCTTTCCTCTGTCTTGGAAGGCTCAGCTGTGAGGAGGCAGCGCCATGCCTGGATGGTCACGGGAGAGCAGCAGTTTCTGGTTTGGCCATGGGTGATGTCTGGTGACCTGCAGTGGAGACGACTTTAAGTGATAGGATAGCATATGAGGCCCTAACGGATGAGATCCCCGATTCAAGACACCCGATCCGGAGAGAATCTCTATCTATAGGGATGCCTACAGCGGGGAGCCAAGGCAAGAAAATATCACCATGCTTACCTGTAAGTGGTTTGAGAGATCTTGAGGTCTTCAGGAAGAGTGAGAGAACAGCCAGAGCCCACTGGGAGCCCTGCGGCTGCCTGCTGTGCTGCCCCGTGTGGGTGCCTGCTGGGCGGGATGGGGGACTCAGAGCCAGCACAGGGCTGGGGAGGGGGAACAGTTCCATCAAGAGGACCTCAGCGTGGTTTGGGTGAGGGAGGACAGTTCTGCAGGGGAAGGAATGAGGTAGAAATAGAAGGGCCTGGGAGAGGCAGCTGGACCATCCAGGGCCATGTCAGGGAGGGTGGGGATTTACAAGTCAGATACACCCGCGTTGCAATTTGAATTTTTTTAAATGTTTTATTTATTTCTCAGAGAGAGAGAGAGAGAGAGAGAGAGAGAGAGTGTGAGCAGAGGAGGGTCAGAGAGAGAGGGAGATACAGAATCTGAAACAGTCTCCAGGCTCTGAGCTCGCTGTCAGCACCGAGACCGATGCAGGCTCAAACCCATGAAACATGAGATCATGACCTGAGCTGAAGTCAGACGCTTAACCGACTGAGCCACCCAGGCGCTCCAGCCTGCATTGCAATTTGGAACAGCCACATATTATCCATGTGGCCTTGGTCATGTTATATCTCTATCCATGTAGCCTTGGTCATGTTATATAACTCTATCCATGTGGCCTCAGTCATGTTGTATAACTCTATCCATGTGGCCTCGGTCATGTTATATAACTCTATCCACGTGGCCTCGGTCATGTTGTATAACTCTCTCCACGTGGCCTAGGTCATGTTGTATAACTCTTTATCCATGTGGCCTCGGTCATGTTGTACAACTCTATCCACGTGGCCTAGGTCATGTTGTATAACTCTTTATCCACGTGGCCTCGGTCACGTTGTATAACTCTATCCACGTGGCCTCGGTCACGTTATATAACTCTATCCACGTGGCCTCGGTCACGTTATATAACTCTATCCACGTGGCCTCGGTCATATTGTATAACTCTATCCACGTGGCCTCGGTCATGTTGTATAACTCTATCCACGTGGGCTCGGTCATGTTGTATAACTCTTTATCCACGTGGCCTCGGTCATGTTGTATAACCCTTTATCCACGTGGCCTCGGTCATGTTGTATAACTCTTCATCCACGTGGCCTCGGTCATGTTATATAACTATCCATGTGGCCTCAGTCATGTTATACAACTCTATCCATGTGGCCTCGATCATGTTGTAAAACTCTTTGAGCCTTGATGTGCTTTTTTAAATTATTATTTTGTGCCAGTATCAAGCTTACAGAAAAACTGAAAGCACAATACTATTCCTTTTGTTTTTTTCTGAGCCCATGAGAGCAGCTTGCCAAAGGGACACTTCATTACCCCCGTCTTCAATTTATATTTCATACAGACAAGTTTTCCTCTACATCAAGGTCGAGAAATCCACACTGATTCAAATGTTAATTTTATTAAAATGTTTTTAAAATATTTAAATAGTATGTCATCCTTTAAGTCATTTGTGTCATCTGATGCCAATATTTTAAAATGTAACATTCAAAAATCTCATAAAATGACCCACCATTACCTCCTTCTTCATCCTGGGCCCCGCCCCTCCCCTCTCTGCAACTTCTGACAGAGAACGCTCCAAGTTCCCGGAACGGAGGGTGCTTTTCCTGTCTCTCTTTGATCATGATTCTTCTCTTGTCTGGAGTGTTCTGATGCCCTTCTGCCACAAAAAAAGAGAGAGAAGGAGACATAGCACAAGGGAGGGAGGGAGGAAGGGAGGGAGGCAGGGAGGGAGGAAGGAAGGAAGGAAAGAAGGAAGGAAGGAAGGAAAAGAAAAATTAACACTGATACCGTAACTCCATGTAACATTCAAGCCCTGCACAAAATTTGCCAAATGCCCCCCAGGAATGTCCTTTAAGGCAAAAAGGATCCAGTTTAAGATTGTGTGTTCCATTTAGTCATCATGTCTGTCTTGTCTCCTTAAGTCTGAAACAGTGCCAATGTCTTCCCTTAACTTCCATGACCTTGACACTCTTTGGCGGTAACAGGCTAGGTGAGAATGTCTCTCGGTGTGCACATTTCCTCAGGATTAGACTCAGATTCTGCAACCCTGGCAGGAACATCAGAGGAATGATGCTGGGTTCTAGCAAGCACCCCGATTTCAACTCAGCTCAGTAAATATGATGTCACTTGGATCATTTGGTTGAGATGGTGTGGTCCAGGCTTCCCCAGCATACAGTTCGCTCTGTTTCTCTTCTGAACTAATGATCCTTTTGTGGAAGCTACTTTAGTACTACATGAAGATCCCACTTCTCCTCAGATTTGCCCTTGTTACTTCATGTATGTATTCATCTCAGTGTGGATCCATGCCTGAGGTGTACCAAACACAGCCCGGGTAGAGGAGGGTGGGGAGGCTGCCACCTCATGACGCAGGTGACGCGGGGGTGCATTATCCTTAGAGAATTTAAAAACACTATTTGCAGAGGATTTATCAGCACATTGCTAACCATGATGCCATCAACAAAACCGTCTTCCTCCTTAAAAACAAGCTCTTGGTTCTGACCCCTATCTCGGGACACCCTCTTTGTGAGGATGCTGTCTTCACCCTGCCCGGACCCTGGTGGCCCATACCGACCCACCTCACTGTAGACGATCTCCCTCCACCCTGTTCTCCTCCCAGAGACAGGGTACCTTCCTGTGCTGACGTCTCCTCACTCACCGTGGTTGAGCAAACACTTCAGGACCAAGTAGGGCAGAAGTAGAGGTCATGCACTCCCCCTGAGGACCGGGCGAGTGCTTCCGGCAGATCTGACACCTCTACTGACTTACTGCTCAGGAAACTTGTCACCCGCCAGTCCCCTCCCATTGTCTGGGCTCTAGCAGAGTAAGGAGTCCGACGGGGCTGCTTCGAGCTACTCGAGCTAGCTATCATTTTGGATCATCACAAAATCTCTCTGAGACGTGCAGGAAGGAAATGTTCGTTTGAGAATTAAGTCAGCTGTGGGGCACCTGGGTGGGTCAGTCAGTTAAGTGTCCAACTTTGGCTTAGGTCGTGATCTCATGGTTCGTGGGTTCGAGCCCCACGTCGGGCTCTGTGCTGACAGCTCAGAGCCTGGAGCCTGCTTCAGATTCTGCATCTCCCTCTCTCTCTGGCCCTCCTTTGCTCATGCTCTGTCTCTCTCTGTCTCAAAAATAAATAAATGTTTTTTTTTAAAAAAAAGAATTAAGTCAGCTGAGGCTGAAGGACGCTTTGTGA